CCGGAAAACATTTCAATTGGTATCCCAACAACTCCTGGAGCCTTGATGTTTGCTAATGCCTTCCATACATCTTCCCCGTGGTTCTCGATCATACATTACCTCTCAAAATGGGTGAATGTCAACCAGTTCTTTTTGGAACAGCGATTCTCTGTATTCCATCTTCTCTTGATGCTTCCTGTATCATTCCGTATTTGATCCATAGAATCCTTCAGTATTGTAACTCAAGGCTTGAATATTTTCTTCAGTTCTTTTACTTCTAGCAGAGTAGAATGCTCCAGGCAAAGGGACCTTAACAAGCAAAGACCTGGAGGCCTCCTGCATCGGCACTGCTCATGGGGAACTGCAAGTAATTTGTGCTGAGAATTAGTGAGGACATTTTCAGTTTGTACTGAATCAGTGGAGGATGAAGGAAAGTGGGTATTGTGAAGATGAGGTCAGGTTATTTATTTAGTGCCACCCCCACCCCCCATCAACAAAAGAACATTTGGATGTGAATGCAGAGATGTGAAAGGAAGAATGGTGTATGCACCATCCAAAAGGTTCAGTGAGGGCAGAAGTCACAGCGGCATCTTGGAGGGGCATAGAAGTCTCACGGATGCCCATGTCCCAGCTCCTTGCACGCAAAGGTAGCTTAGGTTGTGTGAGTAGTAAAGTTAATGATTGTGGCAGTTACATCATCTCCTGTCAACTTGTGAAGGGGTGTAGTCTAGCCTGTCAATCAGGCCATAGCCAATAAGGGCTCTGCATGGGCATGACCTTCTTTTGAGGGATTCTGGGAACTCCTATCTTCCTCCCTGGAGGCAGGACGCACAGACTCTTTCTCTGCTTGTCTCCCTGTGAGACATTTCTGCTAAGAAGCCACATAGAGTTGTGCTGATGGGGCCAGAGTCCTGGAGCTGGAGGAGCCATGTGGAGATGCACGCCAGTGCTGAGATGCTTCCACCAACACTGGATATACAAGACTTTCCACCCACTGGCTTCTGATCTTCCTGCATTTGGAATCATTACATGTGTTTCGTGAGTCTGAAGAGGACTTTATAGATTGGTATTGGACATAGGGGCTAATATCGGACTTATGGACTTGGTCTGGACTGGGCTGGGAGGTTTTCTCAATATCAATTGCTCTTGTGTATAAAACTCTTTCTTATACACATATGATCTCCCTGGATTTGTTTCTCTCGTTTACCCAGATGAACATGATTATGATGGGGATGTGTATGTGTGCATGTGTGTGAAGGACTCTGGACAAGGGATGGAAGCAAAGAGCAACAAGGCTCTGGTTTAACTCCATCCCTTCCTGCTTTCCTTCCATCCAACTACTTACCCAGTCACCCATCTATCTATCCAGGGGCCTCTTTCGGACCACCAGGTGGTTACCGAACACAAAAAGCTTTCCTTTGAGAAAGAAAGGGGAAGGGAGAGTAGGAGGACTCCCAGGAGCACCTTGAATAATGGGGCCCAAAGGAAGGCAAAGAAATTGAGGAACGTTGAGAGTATTGAAATTGTCTCACCATCCAGGCCTCTGTGGGGTGCCTGTTCTGCATACAATGTCACACCTCTAACCAAACCAACCGGCTACACCAAGCCAGCCGCTGACATTCTTGATCCACCGCTGACATTCTTGATCCACCGGCTAAGTGGTTTGACAGCTCTTGAACATTGTCGGGCTGCCTCCTCCCCAGGCAACAGGTGTGTACAAGGAAGATGGCTTTAGCTTCTAAGATCATTTTAAAATTTAATTTTTGAATATGTATATACTTACTTGGTTCAGAAATGTTAAACAACCAACAAACTATGTCAAGTAAAAATTCTCCCTTCATATTCTAATGCTCGCCTAGCTAATCATCGTTCCTGTGTTTTGGGTATATCTTTCCAATTCCTTTATGTATACGTAGCCCAGTATCAATGCCACTCTCTTTATGGCTACATAAACAAGTATCCATGTACATTCTTGTTCTCCCTCTTTCTTGCACAAATCGTAGCAACCACTTGGCAGGGTTCTGCACCTTGCTTTGTGCCCTTGGCCGCTGTATCTTGGAGATCTTTCCCTGCCAGCTCCTAGAATCCCTGCTGGTTCTTTTCTCAGCTGCAGCGATGGTCCGAGAACCTTTAGTTGTGTAGACAACCACCCTCTTACTGACTGGTGTTTAAGGTCTTCCTAAACGTTTGTTCTTACAAATACGGCTGTCATGGCACCACATCACGTCACTGCCCACACACCCAAGTATTAGGGTCATGGGAAATGGGAATTAAATGATAATGAACTTTACCCACAAACTTTTGGAAGCCTCCACCCCTACCCCACCCTGCTTGTGTGTATGGGTTCTTCCTGGCATAAACAACTAAAAGCTTTCTAGGACATGTGTCCAGGATTGGAATGGCCATCCTCAGCTTCCCCATCAGAGGGGGTTTGCTAACACACCTTCCCACCAGCCATTCACCCGGCAGTCCCTCCAGCACAGTGGTTCTCAACCTGTGGGTCACGACCTCCATGAGGAACTGTATGAAGGGGTCAAGACATTGGGAAGGTAGAGAACCGCTCTCCAGCAGGTTTGATAATCTAATAGGTGTAATGCTACAGGCTGCCTGCAGATTTGTAATTTGTGGTGTTTTCCCTGTGTGACTGACAAAATCTTTCAGCGCCATTTCTGTTTCCTTTTGGGAACCATATTTCTCATCTAAAATCAATGATCTTAAAAGTCCAAGTGAATAGCTTCCCACCAAACCCCAACTCACTGCCATCAAGTCAGTGCTGACCCAGAGCAACCCTACAGGGCAGCGTAGAGCTGCCCCTGTGGGCTTCCGAGACTGTCCCTCTTTACAGGAGGAGAAGGACTCGGCTTTCTCCCATGGAGGGGCTGGTGCTTTTGAACGTCTGACCTTGCACTTGGCAGCCCGCTACGCCACCGGCGCTCCTCAGAGCTTCCTTCATTTATGCAAGTCTCTGGAATCTTTGAGAAAATAGATACCTTTATTTAAAAAACAAAAACAACGGACATTCTTGGACAATAAAAAGAAATAATGCCTACAAGTCACCGCTGAACAATATGAAAACACTACAAGTATCTTGAAATAGTTTTTTGGGCAAACACAGCATAATCTGAAGAGACTCAAATCGGACAGAGTCATGACACTGTTTAAGGCAGCTTGACTGAGGTTATAACAGACTCATCTAAAGTCTTGGTGAAACGGACCCTTTTTTATTGCTATTACATATATACATATATATCCCATGGAATACACCTGTATCCACAATAGCACCTTTCACTGTTTTCAGTCTTGTAAAGAGCACAAAGGGGGCCCCAGCAGCTGTGCCTGCCCATGTCCCCGATAGCTCCTACAAGGGATCCTATTGTCTAAGAGTCTCCAAAGGACCGCCACTACAGGAGTTCGGGGGTCATACCAGCAGCTCAGCTCTTGACTACCAGCCAACGCTTCGGAGAGCCCTTGGGAACACAGCTCTCCCCCGGCATGCGTCGGAGTCAAAGGCCACCAACAACAACACGGGGATTTGGGGACAAGGTGGGAGACGGTGTGTTAATTCTTTCCCCAGAGCGAGCAAGCCCTGCAGAGCGAAGGACAGTTCTGGCGGCCTCAGCTCTTGGGATCCTTGGCCTGTGAGAAGGCATTCATTGAGAGAATAATTGTTAATGTTGTCGGGTTGAATTCTAGACCTTGACACACAACGAACAGCTGCTCCCGAATGACTCACTTCTCAGGCAAGACCCAGTCTGAGGGTTTCCTGCTAGTCTTCCTTGAGCACCCCAACACAATCCAGGTGGGGTTTCCAGGTGAGCAGGCCTTGGCAAGCAGCCAACTGCACCTGCCTGGTTTAGCATTCCTGGTGATGCTGGCGGCTCTGACTGGCACATCTGCGTGCTTCCCCACCCTTCCTCACCCAGCCCCGCCTGGGAATCCAACACAGAAACTAACGCCTCTGATGAGTGGTTGGGTCCGAGGAGGGAGGCGGGAGCCACGAGGGCTTCATTTGTCCACATAGTTTTCTGCTGACTCAAGTCTCGGCTCTCAGGCTTGCCCTCCACTTCCTGCCTTCCAGGGCACCCCTTGAGAACCCTGAGACTCCCAATTGGGGACCACGTCTCAACTCGGGGAGCTCGGGGAGACCTCTGGCTCCAGTTGGGGGCCTTTTGGACAGCGTCAGCCTAAATACACCTTGTCTCCCAATGGGACCTCAGCTCCCGGTAAGACCCTTTTCTATGCCTTTCCCCAGAAATCCTGGGTCACAGGCACCGAGACCAGCTTCTCCCTCCAGGAAGACCTTCCAGGCTGGTCATGTGGAGGCTCTTGGGAAGGAGCGCCCGGCCAAGAGGGTTGCGGATGGCTGCCGAACTTCTGAGAAACACCATGTGCCTCCGGCCCCTGTGCCAACCTTCTGTTTGGTTCTGAGGGTGAGCTAGGGAATTCTGGTGGGAATCATCGCCTGGAGGTGTGCTAGCATTGGGCCCCATCCAACAGGACGTGGGCGAGCTTCCTTGTCTCCAGGGAGGCTCACCTGGCCTCCAAGAGGTCCCCTGGCATGTAAGGTCTTCACCTGGTTATCCCACAGGGAGGTGGGAACCACCGCCTTCCCACCCCGCTCAGGTCTAGTGTAGAGAAGGGAGATGTCTCTGTGAGGAGACCAGGGGGCCACAGAGGTGGGCCTGGGCGTTCTCTGCACCTTTTCACCTGGGTGAGGATCTGAGGGTTTCATTTCAGCCCAGGGCTTACTCAGCTCCCAGGCTCAGCAGCCCCCAGGCCTGCCTAAGGATCCGGGATCAGGGACTGCTGGAATAAGGACCCAGAGGGGGACAGAATGCCACTCAACTTCCCATCTGGTTCCCCCTCGCTGCCCTTCTCTGCCTAACGTCCTCCCTGGAGGGCGCTGATGGGAGCGGTCCGCACCAGGGCCTTTGCCCCCTCCGGAGCCAGGGCCAACCTCGCTGCATGGAGCGGGCAGCTACTCAGAACAGCCCGGCTGGGCCTCTGCTGTCCCAGGTCTCTCATGCCTGCTTCCGCACCAGCAGGACCCAGGGCAAGATGGCAGCCACCACGGCCACCACGGCGATGAGGGTGATGAGCAGCAGGGCCCTGGACCGGCAGCAGAACGACCTGGCCGAGCTGGGGGTGGGCGAGGCCCCGGCGAGCTCGGCCAGGCTGCGCTGCGGCAGGACACTGTCCTGCTCCCCCAAGGGCATCCCGTGACGACTGATGACGAAGATCTGGGGTTCGCGGGGCAGGCTGGGCAGCAGGTCCAAGGGGAGTGGGGTGCTCCCACCCGGGCTGCCTGGCAGCCTCCCTGGGCTCTCCGATGGCCTCCAGACGGACTGGGAGGCGGCCAGGGGGTTCGTGTGGCCCCGAGGGTCCGGTGGTGGCCCAGCAGGCAGGCCCACCGGCACAGCCAGGGTCTGGGAGCTCTTGTCCAGCATGGAAGGCCAGCGGGAGCTCTTCTTGCTGAGAAAGGTGACGTAGCGGCAGATGGGGCAGACGATGGTGCGCTGGACCTGCCCGTCCACGCGGGTGGAGAGCAGGTACTTGACGAGGCAATCGTGGCAAAACACGTGGCCGCAGCTCAGCGTGCGGCTGGCGCCGTCCAGGTCGCGGAACTTCTCGTAGCACACGGGGCACTCGCTGCCCGAGCTGTCCTTGCTGCCTCCTTCCGACATGGCCACTCCCGGGGGCGGGGCCCGAGGCTGTGAGAGGGAGGGGTTGCGATCAGCCGGGCCTTGGCTCCCTCCCTCGCCCCCACCTGCCTGGGGGGGCCCTTCCCCTCCTCCCCAACGTCCAGGCAGAAAGGAGTCAAGGGACGAGCCCAAGACCCTTAGGAGGGGCCTGTCAGAGCAGGGATAAAGGTACAGATCTCAAGGGAGCCCGGTCCCATTGACAGGAGGGTGTGTGCGTGGCGTTTGACGAAGGTGTGCTCTCCCGTGAACCATGACAGAGAGGTGATGAGGCCACCACCTGACTTCTTGGTCCACCCAGGAAGTCACAGCAGGAGGAACTCTGGAAGCAGGTGACGAAGGACATGCACCCTGAACATGCCCTCGCCCCCACCCCCAATCTCAGCCCAGTCTGGCCTGCACCCAGAAAGGCTGATGATGCCCCCACCTCCCTCCTCAGCTGGTGTTGGCCGCAGGTCCTTGTCCCTGCCATGCGGTGACATTCCTGTGCCCCTGGAGGCTCATAAAGCCGTGACAATGAAACTCAGGATTCACACATCCAAATGCCGGTTGCCAGCAAAGTAATCACGCCAGGGCTCATCCCTCCACCCACCATGGCCCATCATTCTTCAAATTCTTCAGGAAGGGCTGGCTGCCCAGGGCAGTGGGAGAGCCTCCGCCTTGGAGATGTCTGGGAGGTTGGAGAGGCCAACAGCCCCGGGAAGCCAAGTCTGGTGAGACAGTGAGGCGAGATCGAGATTGAGAGGCACCGTATTGTCAGAGGTCAAAGACAGAGCCACCCCATAAAGGAACCAGGTGAGGGGCCCACCTGCTCTGAAAGCAAAGCGGGGTGGGGGTGGGGGTCTCCCAGAGATGTTCTAAGCCACGGCAGAATCGCTGCATTAAGTACAGGGCTCCCCAAGACAACGTGGATGGAGACACATATTTGAACACATGGTGAGGATCCCCCACGCCTTGGCTGAAACATCCTCCCCTGTGATCATCCAGGGCAGCTTCTTCAGAGCGATGATCGGATGGTGACCCCCTGGTACCCCGGGTGTCGCTGAGAGGGATGCATTAGTATGTAGGCACAAGGCCCCTGGGACACGAGGACCACATGGACGCTGGGGCAGCCTCCGTCCACACAGAAGGACACACCATAGAGATCACAAAACTCTCGGCATCTCTCCTCCCTCAGCTTGGTCCCAAGCTCCGTGGGCCGAACTGAGTTGTAAATGGCTCACCACGGCGAAAGAGCAAAGAGATAGGCAGGTGTGGGAGGGGAACCGAGACTCAAGAGGCAACTCCCAAACCTTGGCCAGAATTTTCCACTTTTGGTGTTTGAGGTGGGCCTACAGGCTAGTCCAGTCTGTGGGAGTCCAGGGCGCCAACCCTAGACCCGGGTCCTGTATCCAGTTCCTGGATCTATTCACGACCGTCTGCACAACCTTGGGCAAGTCGCTTAATGTCCCTGAACAGCCTCGGTGTCCCATCCGTAAGTCAGGGCTGATGGTCATTCTAGTGCTACCTTCTGCTAATACCCTTTTTGGGGTATACAGTTAATGCCAGTGAAGACTCTGGTATACAGTCAGCGCTCAATAAGTGCCAGGTGCAGTTGGTAAGGCAAGAGGAGGTCTCCCTCCACCCCCAAAGGGACTTGGTGATCCCTATGATGGCTCCAGAGGCATCTGCCCTCTGCCTGCCCTCTCCTCTCCCCTCCAGATGCTCCTGATGATGTGGATGACTAAAATCACACACCTCTGACAAAGAGACAACTCACCTGTCTCTAGAGACTAAGTGGACAAGATGACAGTAGATTAGGCAAGGATGGGCGGTGGATAAAAAAAAAAAAAAATTAGACGATGGTGATGTCAGTGCTCTTAGCAGTTTTCATTTCATAACACACTTGCCAATGTCTAAATTAAAAGGGGGCCTTTGTCAGGTGGGTCGGGGTTATTCTCAGGTCAGCTAACTGGTAACAAGTCCCCCTGCATTCCAGAACTCTCCATCACTCAGATGTATGGTGATAGTGTCACCCCTCCACCCATCTGTCCATCCATCTGTCTGTCCATCCATCCAGCCCTCCATCCATCCATCCTCCAATAACTATTTATTGAGTACCTATTAGGGACCAGGTACTAAAGTGGCAGGTACCAAGCGAGGCGCGCCGGGGAGAAACAGTGACCGAGAAAGCCCTTTGTGACATTGAAGAGCCTCCTGGGAGTTGTTTTCTTTTCTAGGAAAAAAAACCATTTAAAAATATACGAGGGGAGAATGACCAGCAGTCTATGTTGTCAGGGTGATTGCTATCAAGATAGCAAGGCCGCGATCGAGGATCGATGAGGAAAAGGAGGAGGGCATATCCCTAGTTAGTGCCCAGCTGCTAAGTGAAAGGTTAGAGGTTGAAGCCCACCCAGAGGTGTCACAGAAGAAAGGCTTGGTGATTTATTCCCCACTCCCCCCAACACACACACACACACACACACACACACAC